ATATATTTCTTCCTGTTCACTGTTGATCAATTTAAATTGCAATTTGGTCGTAGTAAGTAATAATTATTTATATTCCTGTTACTGTCTGTCAATATGAAACGTTTTCGATGTACATATAGAGGATATTTGTTTGTTTGTGTGTAAGATGAAATTTTATTTCATCGAGTGGGCTTTAAAAACAGTATTCTCACGAGTGGCGTAGCCACGAGTGAGAATACTGTTTTTAAAGTTCACGAGATGAAATAAAATTACATCTTACACAACAAACAGACAAATTTTCTTTTTATTTTATGCTTTTAAACAAGTTAAAACGAAATTTCCATAATTTTAACGTTAATATTAAAATCTGTTTCCCCCATTGAGAGCCCCATTCAGAGGGAATTTCTCATTAAAAACAAGAAGTCTTGAGCTGAGAAATAAGTCCGCCAATCAAGGTTAAATGACGGTGATATTTATTCATTTTATTAAAAAAATATGAATGATCGCTTGTTTTAATAATAAAAACAAACAATTGTTGTAGGAGAAAAAGTCCAACCATCCATCCATATTTCTGTTACTTACTGCGAATTTATATTAGACCTGGCTTTGTAAAATGTAAGCGGCAGCCATTTTTTAAAGTTGTGTATTTCATGGGAGGAAAATAATTGTGTAAGATTCAGAAGGATATAATTTGGATTTGTTAGTCATACACCTTTTTAAAAGAAAGAAAACTTATTTGAGGATTGTAACAGACAAAAAATAAGTGTTGACAGAAGTGAAAACATTCAGAAAAGGAGCTAGGAAAATGGAAAACTTGGAAGCTTGCTAAGGCATTGTAACTGTAAGGAACGCTGGGTTATATTACTTATTTAAAGAGTGATGGCTGTCAATGCTTTTCAATTTTTCATAAAGCATACGGCAGTTATTGCTCGTAGGATACTTTAATATGCCCAAATGTCATCAAGAGCAGTTTAGCATGGGGAAGGAATGTATTTTTCAGACTGTAAAAACGAAACAAAAAAATTTAGAGACGAAATTTTGTGATTGGAATTTGAAGGAATAGAAGTAAGTTTTCTCTCTTTATTACTTTTGACATTCAAGTTATTTATCTATTTCAGCTTTGCTATTTCTTTTAACAGCCTGACATTGTCAGAATTGTCAGTAAAAATAAAATTGAGGTAGCACATGGGGAAAATTTTAAAAAAGTAGTTTCGTCATTGAAAAAAGTGAAATTATATTTTGATAATTTTCACTGTGAAATTATCAAATATAATTTTCACGGATAAATCAGTAATCCACTGAAAAGCATATAATAAACTTCAATATTTTCTATCCTGAGAAGAGTATTACAAATGATAGTTAAAAGACATTATGCCTGATAGTTTAAAGGCACATAATGCGTCAGAAATCAATATAATTTTTAATTCTTCAGGAAATTTCAAATATTTGTTTAATAGTGTTTTAATAATGTTAAAGATCATGTAATATGTTTGTCAACAGAAGTAAGTGGCACTTAATATGCAGTTATATGTCGTAAAGTTAGCGAAATGTCGACAAAGTATTTTGACTTCCACTCAAAACAATTATACAAACTTCAAACAGAGCAATATAGCAAAATATAGTTCATGTTTTTGACAAATGAGTCTTTTTGGGAAATATATCAAGATACAAAAAGTGTTTTTGTGAAATAAAAATGAAAGCATTTCCGAGGCATAATGGGACTTTAATGGGCTCTCAATTGTGGATAAAAGTATGCTATAAAGATTTTAAAAAAGTATTAAACGAGTGATCTTCATTTTCTTTCAGAATGTTCGGTTAGTCACTTTCAGAACTTTATGCCATTATCGGCTGCCTCGAAAATACAAACATTTCTGTCTATGTAACGGCAGCAATTTCTCTTCGACTGAGCTAGTTTCTACGAAGAACAACATTTTTTATTTCAATACAGTATCTTTCAATGGTTCCATTTGTGCAATTGTGCAATCTCATATGCTTTAGCGTATACACGTTATAAAGGCAGTTATCAAAAATACTTCACAGATAGCACACGCAACAAAAAGATTTGCAATAGTTATAAGAAAATTGCAACTTTTAAAATTAATATTAAAAAAAGAAGAATAAGAGAATCGCCGAAATATGATTCGAACTTACTAGTTTACGTTTACATCCTTCAAGTGAAACGCCTTAAGTTTACCAACTACTATACCATGTCTGACATTTCTATCGATTTACAAGTAGGTCGATATACCGACTACAAGGTCAAATGCAAGAGTGCCAGGTAAATGTTGTTGGACAATACTTACTTTACTAAATAGCATTTATATATTATATACAAATGATTACTTTAAAAAATAAAACGGTTTTCAGTGTTTAAAGCTGATAAACTTAAATCATTGATCATAATTGACGAAAAGGGCAACATAAAAAATATTAAAATTTATTATCTCTACCTAACGTAAAATTACTATTATATAGCCTAATGTGATGTCACATGGCATTACTCACAGACACTTGGGGTTTGGAGCTCAAAACGCCTTTAAAATCCAAATAAAATGCATATTTGTCAATCCCAGCACATGTACTGATCATATATATCGTAAGCCGTTTTGAAAAAAATTCATATTTCTGGTTTCCATCTCTAGTCGCCTATGAACGAAGCCATCCGATTATGTTGGTTCTCAAACAAAAAAGCGCTGCGCATTTTGCACACGGCAAAACTGGGGCAAAGTTTGAATTTATGGAAAGATTTTGTAAATTGAGAGAAACGGCGATAATCTTGATGTTTATTTCGGCTGCGTTGTTTATATTACCGTTGAAGTTTAAAATTGACCATCATCGTGAAGAATTATATCTTCTGTGTCGATGGACCAAAGGATTTTGTGAAAATATTGGAAATGGAATAAAATACATGGTGATTATGACGGTAGGGGTGCGGATTTTTTCCGGCGAACATTTTTATCTTGTGTATTATTATAGATGTTGAAATATGAATTTCTTTCAAAACGGATCATATCAAGTTTTTTTTTATATATATATGATCAGTACATGTGCTGGGATTGACACATATGCATTTTATTTGGATTTTAAAGGCGTTTTGAGCTCCAAACCGCAAGTGTCTGTGGCATTACTTCGATGAATATCACCCGGTCAATATTTTTTTTTGCAATATTCCCCAGGGGCGAGTAATCTATATAGCTTAAGAAAATATGATGTTTTTGTTCTGTCCCCTTCATAAAAGTACATTTTGACATGATGAAAAAAAAAAAAAATGAACGGCTCTCCAGAGCGGTGAACACTTGCATTAAAATGTTGGTTCAGGGTAATAGTGCATATTACCAACTCTAGAACTGACCGTTATTTCACTTTTCAGGTTGCTTTTATGTACAGAAACATGTGTTATGTTATAATGTTTTTCGGTGCCTGACTCGAATATATTTTAGAAGAATATAAGATTTTACATCTTTCGTTCTAATCCATTTCAACATTGTATATATTGAATGAATGTATATTATGTACTGTATATGATTATGAATAAAATATGTTTAAACTAAGTGTTTTATGAAACAATTTAATATACAATAGTTGATCAAACAACACAATAAGATAACGTTAATATCTAAAATAAATTGTTATTTATACATTTCAAAAGATTTTTATATATATTTTAAATAGTTTAGAAAATCTTTACCCTGACATGTTTGACAAGATAAAAATTTATATTTCTCTTCTCATATGAAACTTATAAATCTATGTTAAAGGTATACACAAATCTTACAATCTCACTTAAACACAACAGAAAAATTATATAAAACTATTTACATGATCCCCTTATTATCCATTTCCTATCAATGGTATCAAACTCACATTTCTCCACATTAAAAATCACATTTTCGACACGTAGCTTGTATGTTGTAAGAGGCACAGCTAGTATGTTTTACACGCACCCAATATTCATTGAAATTCAAAATGATATACATGTAATAATAAAGTTCATGGTGTACATAATAACATATTATTAACAAACATTGTTTTGTAGTAAATAAACATTTGACTTTTCAACCATTTTATACAAACACAATGCATGTATATAAAAAGATTTTGCTTCATCGGCGCTGCAATATCTAGAATTCTATACGATAAATTAATAGTACAATTTATCTCAGTTATATACCGGCTAGCATTTATTGGATACTATACCAGTGTTTTCTTTCAACCATGGCAGTAACAAGCACTTTTCAACATTGTCGAAGAATGATGACAAAAGATTTATTGTCATTAGGAAAATCCTTATAAACAAAACATAAATATAAATACCCCGCACCAGGACTCAAATACCGTCCGAACTTTATGACTCGAATGAACAAGATCCATGTTCCCAGACCTTTCGCTGTCCTTAACTGACGTAATCGAGCATCTTTCGAGGTAAATTCATTCAGTTGTCTTTACCATTTACAATTTTAATGTTTGAGTGTGTGACAAAAAAAATTGATAACTGCGGTAACTCATTGTGATCACCTTCCCTAGTATTTGTGTTTTCACCATCCTGTCCATTTCTGTTGCCATTAAAATGATGCCCCATCCTTTCACCCGACCCTGACCCAAACAGTATCAGCTCTTGCATATCATTTGCCGTGACTGTAGACGACCCCGTTGCGTTTTGAATCATCTTTATATTAGTATTTTCATAATCAACTTCTTTTAATTCTTCCATCCGCGGTTCATTTATGTTTTCCTCAGTACTTTGGCTAGACTTGTGTGTATATTTATACATGAAACCGTTATCATTGTGTCTTTGGTCGTCAAACAGATTCTCTAAATCAAATGATTTCAGCTGGTGCATCTTCTTCACAATGACCTTAGATTTTATTGTTTGAAACATTTTCAAGTTTGTGTTTTCATCATCGACAACTTTTAGTTCTTGCATCCGTGGGTCATATTCTTCGACTTCAGCACGAGGACTAGAGTTCAAGTTTACACTGTGGATATTTGTGCACAGAAAGCTGTTAACATGTTTGCTTTGGTCCTCACGCAGGTTTCTTACAATATCCGAGTGAAATCTACATTCTTCTAGAGCTTCTATAATTATTTGTGTCACCTCTGCTGAAGCCCCGCCTTTATGGACATGCTTCATAAGGTTACCCCACCATTCTTTTCTCTTCTCTGGAACGTTATCCCTGCAGTTTGCAACTTGTTCGTAAAATGGCAACAATGTTGCATAGTCATGGCTTATCAGTGAATCTATAATTAAAATAGGCTCCGTCCTTTCTAGCAGAAGGCAGTGTGAGCATGATCGCCCTGTTTCAGCACATTGGGAGTCTGAATTATTGACAATGCTATCATATGCGGCCGTGATACTTCTAGCTATATGTTCACCACACTCGAAAATGATGTCAATGTAGGACAGCAGTGTCCAACAATCCCTTCTTAAAATTACTCCTAATACGGTTCTAGCAAGGTTCTTGGACTTATCCAAAGAATGGAGTTCGTTGTATTCGTCATCAGTAATGCAGAATTTGGAAAAGAGATGGTCTAACAAATTGGACACATCTAGGTCAACGGCAATCATACGTGCGTTTTTTGAAATGGCTCGACACAGGAAATGGCGTAAACGTCTTTCATCTAGAAAAGAAAGTTGAATGTGTACTTAGTGACATGTTATTTGTTATAAAGTTCATCGTAATACCGACATTAAATTTTGTAATAAGTGAATTAGTTTCTGCAACAAGTATTTGGTCCTCTCTTATATCTCGATTAGTTCTTTTATTTAAAACAATGGTGTGTCATAAAGAGACTGCAGCAAATCTAATAAGACATACTATCACAAGACTACTACATTAGCAGGGGTAATGAGATTGGCGGGCAGCTTACCTTCAGTAGATTTAAGTTCCCTTTTCCTTTCATCACACCATGATAATGTTTCGAATTTTAGTGGCATACATATTTGCTCAAGCTTCAGCTTATATTCATCATTAGTTTCTACTGTAGTTGTATCATCATTAAACGATTCTATAATAGCTCCTGAGTCACCTTCCACCATGAAGGCATTTCTTGTGTCGAGCCAATCGATCAGTCTCTGATCCAAATAGGTACCATTAAAGCTATGTGGATTAGGGACTGTACGACGATTGTCTCGTCTACTCATTAGCTGCTGCTGTAAACTCTCGATTTTATCTTCCTGTTTTTTTATTTCATTCTCTTGGCTATCCTAAAGTATCAAAACGCAAAATACATGTTATATAAGTGAAAATGAATTATATCAGTAAAACAACTTAAGACTACACTGTATTATTAGCAACATAATTTTATTGCGATTTCTTGTTTAGCATAAAATAGCAAACGCTTTCAGGTATTCATCTTTTGGTTAATATTCTGTTGAAATGACACGGAAGTAAATTATCACTACCTAACCGCCATATGAACACATCTGCGGGTGTTTTAAAATTCCAAATTTTACCAGTTCATGTTAAATGTTGAAGTCTGCTTTAGCCGGTGTTAGCGGGCGTGGACGGTAACTTGCACATTCCATATTACCGTCCATGAACAGGCTCAATCAAACCGAGTCTGAAACATTTTTCAATTTTCTCGTTTTGTATGTTTTTTTTAGCGATTCTTTATTTCTCATTATTTGTATTTCAAAGGCATGACTGTTGAACTTGTATTCGATAGCAACAGTTTCGTATTTAGTCCGTACCCTAATTTAAAGGCAGCACACCACACTAAACTAAGCCACAGCTTCGAATGGCCAGGGAGGATTTCATGGATATAGTGACTATTGTGGATTTAAATGACTGCACCAGTTGTCTTTAAAATGCATTTTCAGCATGAAATTTGTTTTTGTGACATGTAATTATAATATGATCATTGGCAAATTCGAAAACATGGTTAGAAATCGCATGCTGTTAATTATAGATGTCAAGGCCGCCATTGTTTGTAAACACTGCTTTTGAACAGCATGCTCGGAGAAAACAAGTAATTTTACAGGGGGGTACAAACTTTCAGCAATAGCAAAAAATCTACAAGGCCAAGCACCTATTTCTTTGTGATATTTTGCAAGTATAGGGAGTTGCTAAAGCAGTGACAGAGTTTCTGTAGCCCGTATATTTGCAGGTATTTTTTGCCGGCGGGACGAAATATGTTGTCTTGGGTCACTATAGATTTTTGGCTTTTACGGAATGAATTGGAATTTTTTTAACTGCCTGACTGTTGCACATGGGATGATTTCATTATAAATTTGCAATGGTATGACATATATGTTCTTAACAAAATGTGTTTTCTTTTTCCAGGTTGTGTAGTTTGGGATCAAATTTATCAGACATATTGCTTGTAGGACACTGACGGCAGAAACTTGAAATTTAGTGTGGAGTGCTACCTAAGCCTAGATATCAGACTATATATTTTGCGATGCATCGGTGATTAATATTGCGCAGACAAATGACCTAAATACATGTGCTCATACATGGTCGAACTATATGAAAGACGGTCTTTCTGATTCACAGTAGTACTTGGAATATTTTGATATTGTGGTAGCTTTATACGGTATTATACAATCGCAATTCCATAACCCTTTCTCTTTCAGTCAATCTCACAGACGCTTGGGGGTCAGATCCTCCCCCCAACGTGATACGCCCCTGATATATGTAAAACTTGCTTGAAAACTATTTTTATCGTTGTAATAGATGTCCCATTCGTGTTTAAATATTAAAAAAGTTTTGATAGTGTTTACAGGGGCGTATCACGTGGGGGGCAGGATCTGACCCCAAGCGTCTGTGGTCAATCTCTGACTATTATAAGTGATGTGCTCAAATTGGGTTACAGTTGATTCGGAACATCTCCCCGATATAATATGACACACTGACGAATATTTATTAAAATCTTAGAGTTAATACGGATTGAAGTAATTCTACCACGTCATTTCAGATCATGAAATTTAAACAAAAACAAAGGGTGTAATGTTTGTATAATGAGTAATTAACGAATGTATTTATTTGACATCCAACGGAAAAAAGTCATTAAGTGTGATTATAATTACTTCTATATTTATTTATGTGAACTTGTCCACGATATTTTTGAATGTAAACTAATTCTTCAAATAGTTTTTTTTATGTTTAAATTTTAGCGTATGTTTAACCGACATTCCGCGCATTATTTTTAAAAATAGAAGGGTTTTTTTCTTGAAACTTTAAAAAGAAATTTATCGTCAGTTTCCTGCGGTTCGATATCCTTATCCAAATATTGACAAAATGGGGCGACAACGTCCGATTTGATCCGAAATTTGAGATGATCAGATTAGTGGCTAAATATAGGAATTATGGTCAATCATGGGATCCCACTTACGTATTTCCAAAAACAAGTGCAATATTCGATAACAATCTTAAAAATCATTTGTAATATGTTAATTTGATAAGACATACGTGACTTTAAATTGATATAAAGAATCCTAAATCTAACATTTGTTTAAATCTGTATCTTCTCTGATTTCAAATTTGACAAACCATTAATGAGGACAAAAAATTCAAAATCGAAAGTGAATTTAGATTAAATTCATTTTACGTCTGATGTCTATTAATTAAAAGAAATAAAATATTTCTTTCCTGGGGTTTAGATATTTTTTGTTTTTAATTTACTAACCTTGTAGCTGTTGTTCTCCATTCTGGATCAGAACCCTTAATTTCCAAACGAAGATAAAAGATACGTATATAAAAACAATGGAGCAATCGGAATACCTCGACGATCATTCATGACGAAAAGGGCCGAGCCTTTCCTATTTTGGGTTTTGGGGTCCTCCTGGGTTCCTTTTCGCTGGTTCTTGTTGCTATGTTGTGTGGAGGTTGCTTTCATTGAACTTCGTCTTTCCTCGTTGATCTTTTTTATTAGCTAACCAGAACCGAAGGTTCAGGGTGAGCTATTAGTAGTATCAAAGGGGAATGGTCCGGCGTCCGTAGTCCGTCGTCATGCATCAACAATCATCTTCTTCTCTGAAACCGCTGGACAGATTTACTTCAAATTTGGTCTGTAGCATCCTTGTGACAGTCACACCTAAATTTGCTCATATGATTTCAATTGGCCCCTTTTAGGGGTCTCTAGACCTAAAAATAGAAAATCCTTTAAACATCTTCTTCTACAGAACCAATTGATGGATGATCACCAAACTTTGTCTGTAGCATTCTTATTTAGTCTTTATCAAATTAGCTCATATTAATTTGATTGGCCCCTTTTAGGGGTCAATGGAGCTAAAAATAATATAAACCTTTAGACAGCTTTTTCTACAGAACTTGATGGATGATCACCAAACTTTGTTATTAGCATTCTTATAGTAATCTTTTATAAAAATTGCTCATATTTATTTGATTGGCCCCTTTTAGGGGCTGCTAAAGCTAAAATACCCCAGACCATGGCATTTCTTCAAATTATAGTTTAATGAAAGGGAAACAACTCATGTTGGAATGTCTTTCATACATGTGAATGACCTGTTTGCTGATGAAATTATTTGAGGTCATGACCTCTGGCAAGAGAAATGATATTTATGAAATAACTTGAGCACATTATAAGGACTTAGTATCAAACTTTATTTGGTTTCATTCATATTCACTTAATTAGATCACTACATTTCTATTTTTGTTGACGTGGTTCTATGACACACTTTGATAAAAAGAAGGCTACCATGAACAGATTTTGACACAGTATCAACGTTTGTTTTTCTATGAAAATAACACACAAACATTTTAAGAAATGCAGCACAAATAAAGCTGGACACTTAATATGTTAGTATTTATCCGTAGCTGTCTACAGAAATTAGAAACATTCTCCTGTCACTATCATTGCCTTTCTGTAGAACTGCATGAAAGAACACTAACATATACATAATGATTAACAACACCCTGTCACTTATGATAATTTTAAATTGTAAATGTTTTCAGAAATAGGTAATATATATTTAATTGAAAAGACAGTATACAGCTATGTTATACAGTAAATGCTTAAAGATCCTGTATGTTGTGATCAAAGTGGTAAACCACACTAAGTGAAATTATATATATGTACATAATTATGCAAATAAAACAATTTTCAAACATCGAAGAATATGTAAAATATGTACTGCAAATATTTGTGCATATTATATGTAATCATTAAAATATATGCATTCATTTCTTATTGTAAAATTTGACTTAAACTTTATAGAAAATAAATTTTTTATTACCTCCCTTTATTTACATGAAATGTTAAATTCGGTAATATCTTTATACATAATGCTTTTTGGAACCTACAATATTGATAAATCTTAATTTGAGCATCATATTTATGATTTAAAACCATAAAAAATGTGTTACAGGATATATTTTTTGTGAATTAAGAATACTTTTTACATTGAATCAATAATTACACTTTGTGCTTTGTATCTGAACAGAAAACATATCTGCACATTGTTTTTCATTTGACATGCTTAAATAACACACTGATCCCAAAACTAATTATGGCAAAATATATTTGTGGTACTATAATTTGTTGTGTATGCATTCTTGTTAGCTTATAATATAGTGTTGTGTATACAATCTTGTTTGCTAGGTAAAAATAAAATAAAATCATCTCTAGAATTCGGACTCCCATACTCCTGTTCATCTTTCTGCAGGTTTGTTTGTAGGTCAGTGTCAGTGAAATAAGATTAGGCCTTAAGAAAGATTGCATTTATTTGCTGTAACTTACAAACAGAGATGCTCTATTTTATATTGAATTTTGTTAAAAAAAATGTTTGTTTTTTTTGTCAATTTTTGTTGAATTGGATTCAAACTTGGAGAAAGCACATTTCAATAAATTTTGCCTGATGTTTCATGGGCATAATTGAATTTTGGTATCAGTTGAGTTATTTATACTTTCTTGTTTTTTTGATGTACAGACTTCAAATTTGGACCAGGAATGTAATTTCTAATGCAAATTGAATTAAGATAGTAACTGACTACTTTTGATATAAATGATATCGTTTGACCTTGTTTCTTGTTTTTTGATGTACCTACTTGAAATTTGGACAAGGGGTTTAATTTCTGACCCTGAATTGATTTTTTATATCCACTAGCCTACTTTTCATATTATTTTATATCGCACGACCTACTTTTTTATGCACAGACTAGAAATTTGGACCATGGGTGTAATTTTCTAATGTCATATTGAATTATGATATCAGCTGACCAACTTTTGATATAATTGATATCAGTTGATCTACTTTCTTGCTTTTTGACATACAGACATGGAATTTGGACCATCTGGAACAAGGGTGTAATTTCTGATGTCGCATCAAATTTTGATATAATCTGATCTATTTTTGATATATTACCTACATGTACTTCCTTTTTTTGACATGAAATTTGGAATAAGGGTGTAATTTTTGATGTTGAATTAAATTTTTATATCAGCTGACCTATTTATGATATATTTGATACCATTTGACCTATTTTCTTGTTTTTTGAATACAAACTTTAAGTTTGGACAGGGGGTGTAATTTCTGATGCCGAATGGAACTTTCGGCATTTTCTAGTTGGGTGGTTCCAATATTCCTACTTGAATAATGTTGAATCACCCTTAGGATATGTTGCCTGCTTTTTAAATTTGTCTTTTGACGTCTTATCTGTGATACGCAGGCTTCATAACCTCTGATCCCCTTTCAAAATTCCATTTTATTTAGTTCCGCTCATTGTTTTCTCGTTTAGGGCACACGTATTTTTTTAATTGGGGACCATACGCCGCTTTTCATGGAATGGCACTACTGTGTCACATCTGCGGTTGTTTCTAAATTCAAAATTTTACTATTTCATGTTTAAATGTTGAATTCTGCTTAAGCCGGTGTTAGGGGGCGTGGACGGTAACTTGCACTTTCCAGTACCGTCTATGAACAGGCTCAATCAAACCGAGCCTGCAACATTTTCAATTTTGTCGTGTTGGGCTTTCTTTAGGGATACTGTATTTATCTATTTGATATCAGCTTAACTACTTTTGATATTTTTGATATCGCTTGACCTACCGTTTTGATTTGTAACATACAGATTTGAAATTTGGACCATGGGTGTAACTTCTGATGCCAAATTGAATTTTGATATATATTGACCTACTTTTGATATTTTTGATAGCATTTGACCTACTTTCTTACTTTTTTTTAAGGGGTGTAATTTCTGATGCTGAAATGATTTTTGTTAGCATCTGGCCTTCTTTTGATATTTTTCACCTTGTTTGGCCTTTTGTCATTTGTTTTGAAGTGCAGTTATGCCACCATATAGGATGTATTAAAAGTTTGTTGTCCCAAACTGTAAACACCTTACATATTTTGCATGTGACATTTTGTGTATTCATTCACAAAAGTTATAAAAAAAAATGTTCCATCAAAATTAACCCTGCTGTAGTGGTCATTTATTCTGCATTTATTCTACATAGTCTCATGGGAGCACACTTGCAACATAGATATTTTTAACAAATTCTTTCCAAAATATTAGGGCAAAATATTTCAATAACTAGAAGGGCAAGTAAAAATTGAGCTGGACTGGCCTTTCAGCAAGTTTTTTTGAAAAATAACACTGAAAAACAGTTGTTTCTGGTGAGCGACTCAGGGCCATCATGGCCCTCTTGTCATATTTTTTGACAATGGAGTTGATATGCCATGATGTCATGTTATCGACTAAGTGGAAAACCATGATGTCGATCTCGCTTTTTGGCAAACTTAATACTTGAATGTTAAAGTCTACTAATCAGTTTCTACTATGTGACTGAAATTCTCATTTCGCCTCATCTTTAAACATACCGATGCTTCATTCGTGTTATTGAAACTTTTCTTATTTACTGTATATTTGATTGCCCTTTTCGTTCCTCATTACATGTGTCATTTATCTTGTTCTCATTTATCATTTGTGAAGTTTAAATCTCATTTATCGTTTGTGAAGTTTAAATCAAGGCATATGCGACAATTACATACAAATCTTCTTCTGAAGTTTGTGTATGTAAATATCTGGAAAAAGTGATCCCTCAGAAGCATCAAAAACAGCAAAAGTACATGATAATTGCAGACTCGGTTTGATTGAGTCTGTACATTAGGCAAAATGAAAAAGTGCAACATCCCTCACTCCCCCTAGCACCGGCCCGAGTGATTCTCAATTCTCAACACTCAAAATGGCTGGACTCAATGATCCTGGAGAACCTGTAAGACTCTGTTAGCTTTGATTTCAACATTCTGCGAGTTTTATCTTATCTGTTTGTAACAAAGATTATATTCTAATATCAACATGCAACGTTCTTGATAGTAATGAAATATCTTGTATAATCAAATCTTATTATTATTACAATTATTATTTTTTGGGTTTAGATAATTTTCCTTTGATTTGTAGATAAAGAAATATCCGATCGAGCTAGACTGGTAGTTGATGAATAGTAATTATTAATAAATTTCCCACCATTTTATTCAGTGTGGATCCAGATCAGTTCCTTTTCTAGAATTTTGTTCCATATTTTCGTTCTGAATTTAAGACATTGGTACAATTTCATTGGCCTCATTATCATTTACAACTTCCGAATCCGATTGGCCACTTTCATTTTCACTGCCGTGAAATAGACTTTCACATAATTCTATATTATCATGTCAAAATTTGGTGTATTTCTAGACAATAGATTAGTTTCGTCATTTGTCCCTGCAGGGGCAGTTTCATTTTGATTGTTTTCATGAGTGCTTTTATTTGAATTTGTACATGGTCTAACATCGTGTTTCACATTAATTGTCTTTGGTTTTGTCTCATCAGCTTCTCCTGTCATTAGT